AAACAGTTGTTGCTGTCGCGTCGATTCCTACTCATGGTGACTCCATGTGCTTCAGAGTAGAACTGTGCTCCACAGGGTTTTCTTGGCTGTGATCTCCTAGAAGCAGATCGTCAGGTCTTCTGTGATGCCACCAGATGGATTCAAACCACCAGCCTTTCAGTTAGTAGTCGAGAGCAAACCGTTTGCACTCCCGACAGATCTAAGTGAAAGAAGCCCGTCACGAAAGGCCACATGTTGTATGATTCTACTCATATGACGTGTTCAGAAGAGGCAAATCCAAAGAGACAGAAACTAGACTAGCGGTTGCCAGGGGATGAAGAAGGGAAATTGGGAGAGGACACTAACAGGCAAGGACTTTCTTTTTGGGGAGATGGAGAGTTCTGGAATTAGACGGGGGGACGGTCACACAACTCTGTTGGTATACGGAAAACCACTGAATTGTCCCCTTTGAATGGGTTAATTTTACGTTATGTGAACTTTAACTCGGTTTTTAAAAAGTGAATTATTTGCTACGAAGTTATTTTTCTCTTTAAAAGCCAAGTATCAAAATGATTCTGAAACTCTGACTCTGAAACCCTTCTCCTCGACAGCCCAGAAAGCATGGGGGCTGGGAGGCAGCACTGGGGCTGGTTTCTGCGTTTGGTGGGTGGGATCAGCCTTGATAGAATCACAGGTCTGTAGGCAGCCATATCCATGGTTACGGGCCATATCCATGGTTACGGTCCACATCAGCAAACGACATTCTCTGCTTCAGTTTGATTTGTTTAATAAGAATGGCGCTTGTGTAGGGAAGTCTACGGTGCCCCTGCTGGACAGGGGGGAAGGAGAGGACCCTGTCCTCTCCATTCTGGGGGCCACACAGGAGCCTTGGCCCCAAGCACTGAAGTCCCGGGCAATGATTGGCAGAGTCTCAGCTTTGTGAGAGAGGGAGAGGGAGAGAGAGAGAGAGAGAGGGATGGATGAAAGGCTCCCTTCTGTTCAATTAGCTTCTTTTCAAGGATCAGGCAGGCGGAAAATTCCACACTCCAGTGAAACAGAAGGGAACACAGAAAGGAGGGCAGATAAAGGGCACAAGCGCCAGGCGTTCTTCTGCGCACGGAAGTGAGTGCTAACCAAAAAACCCAAAACACCAAACTGCCGTCGAGTCGATTCCGAGTCATAGCGACCCCAAAGGATTTCCAAGGCTGTAAATCTCTACAGAAGAAACCACCACATCTTTCTCCCATGGAGACACTGGTAGTTTCAAACCTCCGACCTTTTGGTTAGCATTCGATCACTTTAACCACTGCACCATCAGGGCTCCTTAACTTCCAGAGGCCCTGGTTAAATCTGTGTGCTTACTTAGGGCAGAGGGAAGAACCACGTCTATTTCACTGTTTCTCACGGTGGGATGCATACCCTGGGGTGTGAGAAGTGAGCTTACTTGGCAAATGGATGTGTCATGAAAAGTCACTGTCTTACAGTACACAATACTGGGGAAGCCAGCATAACTTGTACAAGGAAAGGTCATGGAAGCTCCATTTACACATCCAAATTCCTTCAGGGACTGAATTGCTGGGCGGAGGGCTGTGGGGACCACAGTCTCGGGGAATCTCTAGCTCAACTGGCATAACACAGTTTATAAAGACAATGTTCTACTTTCTACCTTGGTGAGTAGCATCTGGGGTCTTATAAGCCTGTCAGCAGCCATCTAAGGTACTCCACTGGTCTCACCCCTTTGGGAGCAAGGGAGAATGAAGAGAACAGGATACAAGGAAAAGATTAGTCCAAAGGACTAATGGTCCACAGCTACCAAGGCCTCCACCAGACTGAGTCCAGTACAGCTAGATGGTGCCCAGCTACCACCACTGACTGCTCTGACCGGGATCACAACAGAGTATTCTGGACAGAGCTGGAGAAGGATGTAGAACAAAATTATAACACACACAAAAAAGACCAGATTTACTGGCCTGAAAGAGACTGGAGAAACCCCTAGAGTATGGCCCCCAGACACCCTTTTATAAGCTCAGTGGTGAAGTCACTTCTGAGGTTCACCTTTGTCATGGTTTGAATTATATCCCCCCAAAAAAGTGTTTATCAGTTTGGCTAGGCCACGATTCCTGGTACTGTGTGATTTTCCTGTGTGTTGTAAACCTGCCTCTATGATGTTAATGAGGGAGGATGGGTGGCAGTTGTGTTAGTAAGGCAGGACCTGATCTACAAAACTGAATTGTGTCCTGAGGCAATCTCTTGAGATGTAAAAGACAGAAGTGAGCAGTGAGCCAGGGGGACCTCATACCATCAAGAAAGCAGTGCCAGGAGCAGAGCACGCCCTTTGTACCGGGGTCCCTGCACCGAGAAGCTCCTAGTCTGGGGGAACACTGAAGAGAAGAAGGCCAACAGAGAGAAAAAGCCTTCCCCTGGGGCTGACGCCCTGAATTTGGACTTTTAGCCTACTTTGACTGTAAGTAAATAAACTTCTCTTCATTAAAACCATCCACTTGTGGTATTTCTGTTGTAGCAGCACTAGATGACTAAGACAACCGTTCAGCCGGGGAGTGGACAGCCCCATAAAACAAAACAGGACTAATGAGGCACAGCAGTCCAGGGCCAAGGACTAGAAGGCAGAAGGGGACAGGAAAGCTGGTGATAGGGAGCCCAAGGCTGAGTAAGCACAGTGTTGATATGTAGTGGGGTTGTTAACCATTGTCATAGGGCAACATCTGTACTGTTTAATGAGAAACTATTTTGTTCTGTAAACCTTCATCTAAAGTGAGAATAGCAGCACAACTGGAAGAACGTAATCAATGTCACTGAACTGTGCATGTAGAAATTTTTGAAATGGTGTATCTTTGGGTATGTGTATTTTCACAAAAAAAAAGATTGAGAAGGGAGAGTGTTGACACTCTCCCTCGGGGTTGTTAACCAATGTCATAATACAATATATGTACTGGCTGTTTAATGAGAAACTATTTGTTCTATAAACCTTCACCTAAAGTACAATAAAAAAAAAGAAAAGTCACCATCTTAGTTATTGAGTGCTGCTATAATAGAAATACCACAAGTGGGTGGAAGGCCCTTGTCTCTTTGAGTTTCTGCTCCTGGGAGATCTTCATGTAGCTTGGCATCTCTATTCCCTCATCTCTGCCTCTAGCTTGCGTTTAATCTTTTATATCTCAAAAGAGACTGACCCAAGATACACCTTACACAAAATCCTGTCTCATTAATATAACAAAGACAACCCACTCCCAAATGAGATTATAACCACAGGCATAGAAGCTAGGATTTACAACACATATTTTGGGGGGACACAATTCAGTCCCTAACAGTCACTGAAGCGCCTCATGAGAAAGTCATTCTTCAACTATTAACCTTCCAATTTTTACCAAGGAGAAAGGTCCTAGCCTTTGGGGCTGCTGCACCTCTAACACCTCTTTTAGATTTTATAACAAAGAGAAAGGAGACTCAGAATCTTTTGTAGGCAACAGCATCTAGGCTAAACTGAGTAACATGTTTAATGTCATTGTGTTTATTTTTACTTTTTTATGTTAATTTACTATTTATGGCAAGTTTTCCTGGTAAGGTAGAGATAGAAAGCTTCCTTTTAAAATAGACTTAAGGTTTAAAAAAAAAAGTAAGTCACTCTTAAAAAATATAGAAAAGAAAATAAAAGTATAGGTGGTATGCAGATGGGACAAGAATCATGAAGGTGGTACAAGAATGACAGAAACTCTGGAAACTTCTTTTTCTTTCTGTTACTTTACTAATAAATACTTTTCTAACACATCTAAAACCACTGGTCTGTCCTTACACATGCTGTCTCAATGGTCCTGGCTTCCTTCTAATTCCTTTTCCTAAATAATATTTTATTGTGTTTTCAGTGAAGGTTTACAGAACAGTTTAGGTTCCCATTCAACAATTTCTACACAAGCTGTTCAGTGATACTGGTTATATTCTTCACAACATGTGAACATCCTCATTATTTCTATTCTGGTTGTTCCGTTTCCATTAATCTAGTTTCCCTTCCTCCTTACATTCTTGTCTTTGTTTTAAAGTAATTGTTAATTGTTTGGTCTAATATAGGTGATTTTTTAAAGGAGCACAGTACTTACGGGTGATATTCATTATTTTTGGGGCCAATTTGTTATTTAGCTACAAGGTGACCTCAGGGGTTAGCTTCAAGGTTTGAGGTTCAAGGTTTTAAGAGTATCTTGACAACAGTCTTGGGGAATCTTCCTCCTCCAATCTCAACTAGTCCAATAGAAATTTGAGGTTCTGTTCCGTATTTTTCTCCCATTCTATCAGGGTCCATCTATTGTGGCCCTGATCAGAATGGTTGGTAGTGGTAGCTGGGTACCATCTAGTTCTTCTGGTCCCAGGGTAGATGAGGCTGTGGTTTGTATAGACTATCTGTCCTATAGACTAGTTTCTTCTTTGAGTCTTTGGTTTCCTTCTTTCTCTTTTGCTCTGATGAGTAGAGACCAATAGTTGTATCTTAGATGGTCACTCACAAGCTTTTAAAACCCCAGACATTACTCACCAATCTAGGAGGTAGAACATAACTTTATGTCAATTGACCAAGTGTACCACAAGACTATGGTCCTAATCTTTCAAACCCAGAAATCCTAATCCTTCGAGGAGTCTAATTCATTTTTTTTAGTGCACATTACTGTACCTGTAAGGACCTCACAGGATCAGCATCCAGTGACAAACAAAATATCAAAGAACTGATAAACGCACAATCCTTGCTTGCTCGAAGACAGACTCAGTGACCGGGAGCGTGGGTGGCCTCCCAAAGACACTATCAAAAACCTGAAAAAATCTATCTGGTAAGAAACTGCCACCAATTCTTCAAGAATACTTCCAAAATTTAAAAAAAAGGGATGAGCATCTTTCAACTTTTCTGTATGACTGAAATTTTTCATGATAAACTGTTGAACAACAGCGATTAAAAAGGATAAGCAGAGAAGATGACATTATGCTACTCTTGAGAACTTCAATTATAAAATGAATTAACTTACCAATAATAGATTTTTATCAGTGCCGAAGGCCACAGGAGAAACGAGGCTACAAAGGCCAGGATTGGGATGGCCAGGGTGCCACCCGCAATCACAAACATGTTAACCACATCAAGATCCATTCTACTCTCCAGGGCCGGCGAACACCTGCAGGGGCTGAAGAGAGTGATCGTATTGAAATTCTGTCTCAAGAGGAAAGGAGCAAAAGCAAAGGGGCAAAGAAACGTGCAGAACCCAGAAAGAGGATAAAGATGAGGACGAGGGAGGAGAGTGCTTAAACACGCTAGACATGACAACCAAATGTGGTGAGGGATCCTCGGGTGGGTCTCAGATTTTAAAAGACTCTAAGGGACATTACTGGGACAATGAGGGAAATCTGAGTAAGGACTGGGTATCAGATAATATTGTATCAGTGATACGTTCGTTGAGTGCGATGATGAAATTGTGGTTATGCAGGCAAATGTCCTTGTTCTTAGGGGATATCTGATGAAGTATTTAGGAGGGAAGTATAATGACACCTGCTACTCACGTTTAAAATTTCAGGAAAGTAAAAATACTGTGTGTGTGCGCGCGTGTACCCATGTATGCATGTGCGTGTTAAGGGGAGAGGGAAAGGAGAGAGACATAAAGCAAATACAAACACAGTGAAATGCGAACCACTGGTGAATCCAGGTGAAGGATAAATGGGTGTTTACAGTTTCATTCTTTCAACTTTTCTAAAGTCTGCAATTTTTAAAAATAAAAATTAGGGCGGACATGGGACCCTGAAGAAACAAATGAAAAAAAATGTATGTATACATGAGTGCTTTATTCACACAGAATAACTCTGGAAGTATGCATAAGACACCAGGACCAGTGGTCGCATCCATGGTGTCAGGGATAGAAGGGAAACTTGTTTTTCACTGTATACCCCTTTAAATCTTTTAAATTACATATCATGTACATGTACAGCCTATTCAAAATACATAATGTACAATAAAAAGGTAAATCAAACCTGTTGCTATCGAGTTGATTCCAAATCATGGCGACCCCGTGTGTTACAGAGTAGAACTGCTCCATAGGGTTTTCGTGGCTGTAATTTTTATGGAAACAGATCACCAGGCCTTTCTTCCTTGGTGCCACTGGGTAAATTTGAACCACCAACCTTTAGGTTAGTGGTCAAGTGCAAATCATTTGTACCACCCAGGAACCTTTTCAATAAAAAGTTAGGATAGAAAAAAACAAAAAAACATAGTTTTCTGTGTACTTTCTGATGTCTTCCTAATGGACACATCTGAAGGCTAGAATGTGGGCTCCATGAGGACAGGGACGGTGTCCCCAGCACCCACCCATACCAGGGGCTGGCACATCATAGGTGCTCTAGAACTCACAGTTGAATGTAAGGCCAGAACTCCCATTTTGACCTGTCTCATAAGCGCAAACGAGGTTCATTCTAGCATGGATGGAAAAATATTTCAAGTCCCATCATGCTCCCCAGTCTAGAAACCAACTCCCCCAATGACCTCAAAGCCAGGTATCCCTCTGCCTCGATTCCCAGCCACCTATGTTAAGTGTGCAGTGTTCACTAAACACAAAAAAGAGACTATCTAACAAATCACAGCCTTTGAATTTCCTGTAAAATGGAGAGATCTTTCCCATATACCTCTGTCACGGGTACACGTTTAAATTTTATAATGAATTCCTGAGGGCACAGCATGATCTCACAACTATGCAGCATAGGAGTTGGCAACTTTTTCTGTAAAGGGACAGATAATAAATGTTTTTGGCTTTGTGGGCCATAGGGTTTCTGTTACAACTTCTGAACTCACGAGAAAGCAGCCACAGGCAATATGTAACAAATGGGTGCAATAAATGGGCGTGACCTAACTGTATTCAGTGAAGGTTATTTACGAAAACAGGCTGCAGGCCAAATGTGGCCCACAGGCCATAATTTGCCAACCGTAGATACAGCACATCAACCCTGTTGAATAGGTAAGGCAGATGTTTTATCCCCAGCTGGGAAAACTGAGGTTCAGAGAGGTTAAGCAACTTGCCCCAGGCTACCCAGCTGAAGGAGTCGTGACTACAAACAGTTTTCTGACTCAGACCCGTTGTCCCTTCCTCCCAGATCCACTTCGTCTGTTTTTTTTAGGTGCCTTTTCTTGGTCTCTGGAGCCTCTCTGCTGTTAAGCACTTCCACTTGTCCTCCCTCCTTTCTCCACTGAAGGTGCTGAAGATGTGACATCTCCATTTAGAGGTTTGGTCTCTTCCAAGAGCTCTGGCCAGACCAGCTCCTCACAGTCCTCTAGGGGGGTGACAGGTGAGCACAGGGGGGTCAGATGGCTGTTTTCAGTTCCACGCACACTCTCTCTGGCAACAGTCCTGGTCTACAGTGATGAAAGCGGCCGCTGTCCCAAGGGCACAAACACTGCCTCTGACTCCACTGCCATCTTGGGTTTTCAGCCACTGTAAGTACTTTTCCCAGCCCACGTAAATCACTACCTGTTTTTCTTTCTAGAACCACAGCTCCTTAAGGCTGGGACAATCATATATGGTCCTCTTTCTCAGTGCCTAGAATAGCACATGACACAGATGAGGGACAAGTGAATTAATGAGAAGCAAAGTTACAAAAAGGACCCAATCCTGTTCAGTTTGTTCTAGGGACAACCATGGCCCATGACGCTGTAAGAGATGTGACATGCTCCTGGTTTTCAGTAATTACAAAACTCCCCAGAGGAGTCAACTATTTAACGCAGGGTACAACTGGCACTGCTGAAAGCGCTCACCGTTGAGGGTGAGCAAATTAATCCCAGAGGGAAGGGAATTTGTGTGAATCTGTCTGAACCTCATGGGTCAAGAAAAACTTGAACATGGGAACTGCCAGCATCAAGAGGACTTCTCGACAAAATACCAAGACCTCAAAGACCGCCAAGGGCCACTGTGAATTCTGCTTCCTGAGCTGCAGGAAGTTAATTACATGATGTCCCTTTGGACTAGAAAACAGGACATCTTATGCCCAGAGCCACATACATCACCGACGGACACCAGAGGTGGTCCTGAACGCAGGGTACTGTCAGCTCCTGCCGTGGAGGTCAAAGTCAGTTTCATCGGGCTCCACCTTCCATTTAATAACAGAATAAAGTCTTTAGTAAGGAGCTTTTGTAGAGTACAGTCAATTTATAGCAAGCCATGGACTTATTACAGAGAGCCCCAAACACTTCCCCTGACAAGGTCAAATAAAGTTAGGCTCTGGTTGAAGAAACCGCAATGCTTTCTGAGTTTTCTATACAGATAAAGAGTAGGCAATTGCTCCTGTCTCTGCAACATCCGTCATTTTACAGAAGACTTGCCCCAGCTTTCCTCTGAAAAGGCACTTGCCTGTTCCCACTTTGTTGTTGTTAGGTGCCATCAACTCGGTTCTGACTCACAGCGACCCGATGTACAACAGAACGAAACACTGCCTAGTCCTGCGCCATCCTCACAATCCCTGTTATGCTTGAGCCCACTGTTGCAGCCACTGTGTCAATCCATCTCGTTGAGGGTCTTCCTCTTTTTTGCTGATCCTCTACTTTACCAAGCATGATGTCCTTCTCCAGGGACTGATCCGTCCTAACAACATGTCTAAAGTATGTAAAATGTAGTCTCGCCATCCTTGCTTCTAAGGAGCATTCTAGTTGTACTTCTTCCAAGACAGTCCTGTTCGTTCTTTTGGCAGTCCATGGTATAGTCAACATTCTTCGTCAACACCACAATTCAAAGGCGTCAGTTCTTCTTTGGTCTTCCTTATGCATTGTCCAGCTTTCACATGCATATGATGTGACTGAAAACACCATGGCTTGGGTCAGGCGCACCTTAGTCTTCAAGGTGACATCTTTTCTTTTCAACACTTAAAAGCGGTCTTTTTGCAGCAGATTTGCCCAGTGCAAGGCGTTGTTTGACTTCCTGTCTGCTCCTTCCATGGGTGTTGATTGCGGATCCAAGTAAAATGAAATAACGATTGTCCCTGCTCGTGTTGGTTTATAGAATACTTTAGGTACTCAAGGAAACTGAAGCCTCGTGAGCCAGGAACCACCAATGACCAAAAATCAACTAAGGGGTATAATGTAGAGTGTCCCAAAGCATGGGGCCCATACAACTGATGGTTTGTGTCATGGATTGAACTGTGTCTCCCCAAAATGTGTGCTGGAATCCTAACCCCTGTAACTGTGGATTGGAGCCCTGGTGACGCAATGGTTAAGAACTCAGCAGCAAACCAAAAGGTCAGCAGTTCAAATCCACCACCGCTCCTTAGAAACCCTATGGGGCAGTTCTACTCTGTCCTATAGGGTCGCTATGAGTTGGAATTGACTTGTCGGCAACAAGTTTGGGGTCTTTTTTGTATACTTGTGGATCGTTTGGGAATAGGGTTCTTGTTCCGTTAATAAGAACATATCAGTGTAGGGTATGTCTTACATCTAATCACTTTTGAGTTATAAAAAGAGCAGATTAGGCACAGGGACAAGCAAGTACAAATGGGGGAAAGATAGATGCCACCTGGAGGTCGCCAAGGAACTGAGAAATGCCGGGACTACAGGAGCTGACCAAAGGACCTCCCCCCAGAGCAACAGAGAGAGAGAGAGCGAGCCTTTCTCTAGAGTCAGTGCCCTGAATTTGGACTTTAGACTTCTGAACTGTGAGAAAATAAATGTCTGTTCTTTAAAGCCACCCACTTGTGGTATTTCTGTTACAGCAGCACTAGAAAATGAACAGTTTGGGAGAGGACTTTCGGGAGTATAAGAATACTAAATCATGCCTCAGGGGTACCCGGCATTAAATAACGCTGACACACACTGAGAAAGTTATTTCTTTTCAGTTTTTTCAGTCCCGCTTAAGTCAAAGAGATACTCTCAGGACAGCTCTCTAACCCTGAGCCTTCTGCAGGAAACAGCATCTAGCCATTTAATAACATTGTTTCTTTATATGTATTTTTTATGGATCCTTTCAGTTTATGATAGGGATGCTTTAAAAATAAATTAAGTTAAAGAAAAACATTACGTAGGTGATACATGGATCCGGCGAACACCGTGATGGCGGCACGTGAGCGGCTGCCGATGGGGTCACACTAGTGCAGTGGAGGTGCAGGGGGCTGGGGACCGGGCGCTCCAGCTGGTGCTCTGCCTGGCCTGGCCACACA